GCTCGGCATCGCGTCCAGGGCGCAGGGGGCTCGGTCTGCGCAGGGGCGTCGCGGGGTGCCGCGGGGTCCCCACGGGCTCGGGGACCTCATCGTCCTCCATCCAGGCCGTGGAGAGGCTGCTGTATAGAGGCGAGGGGTGCGGGGGGGGGGGAAGCTGTCTTCTCCCGCTTGGCTCACCAGGATTGACGAGCGACCCGGGCCAGAACGAGTCCCAACACCCAGACCCGCCCTGCTGGGGAGGCTCTGCGACCCGCTAGTGCCGCCGCCGCCAACTTCGGGCTTGAGAAAAAGTTGAGGATTTTTGTGAGACGCCGGGCCCCGGGGCGCGCGCTGCAAGTCCGGCGGGCGGCCACAGGCTGGGGCCGACCTGATGCGGGGGCGGGGCTACGCCTGGGAAGTCTGAGAGGGGCGGGCGTACCGGCCAATGGGCGCCGCCGTCTACTTGCGGCCCAGCCCCGTGGGCCGGGTGTCCGGAGCGCACGAGCCCCGCGGCTCAGACGCGGCGGGTGGAGGCGCGGTCCGGGCGCTTCGGCCATGCCCGGCGGGGCCCACGCGGCTGTCCCGCGCTCGGCGCGCCCCTGGTAGACGACGCCCCGGGCCCGGCCATGCCGCTGGAGACGCAGGACGCGCTGTATGTGGCGCTGGAGCTGGTCATCGCCTCCCTGTCGGTGGCGGGCAACGTGCTGGTGTGTGCGGCGGTGGGCACGTCGAGTGCCCTGCAAACGCCCACCAACTACTTTCTGGTGTCCCTGGCGGCGGCCGACGTGGCGGTGGGGCTGTTCGCCATCCCCTTTGCCGTCACCATCAGCCTGGGCTTCTGTACGGACTTCCACAGCTGCCTCTTCCTGGCCTGCTTCGTACTCGTGCTCACGCAGAGCTCCATCTTCAGCCTCCTGGCCGTGGCTGTGGACAGGTACCTGGCCATCTGCGTCCCGCTCAGGTGAGGCGCGTGGGATCTGGAAGGGCCTCGGTGAAGTAGAGGGTCGCCCTGTCCAAGCCCAAGGGACTGCCTTGCGAGACCCCCCGATGGCACGCTGGGGGAGGATGCCCGTTAATCTCACAAACACGTGCACCCCATGTTTCTGAGATTCTTCTGGTGAACTAGAGGAAAACGGCCGCAGACACTGTGTGCCCCCCCCGGCCCCCGGCGTCCTGGGTGCTCGTGTCCTTCTAGGGGGCTCCGCCTAGAGACAACTCTGAGGGTTTCAGGAAGAGCCTCCTGGGGTGAGGTGCCCACACGGGCCCGGGAAATCCAGGTGGGCGCAGGCGGTTTGAGGACGCTACAAAGGCTATCTTCCTCCTCTTCTCCCCGCCCCCCCCCCCGGGAAGTCTTCAGGCACAACTTCAATGGTGCAGAAGAGCTGCCGTCCCAAAGCGGGAAATGGGGACCAGAGTAGCGGCCCCACGCAGCCCTGAGAGTTCTGGGGTTCGGGGAAGCTTCTGCTCAGGACCAGGCAACTTCAGACCCTGGGGTTTGGCAGTCAAAACAGGCACAGAGTACTCGGGACACAACTTAATTAGCTTGCTTGCTGTGAAGTGAGGCAGCCAAGCAGATCCGAGGGGAAGTGCCGCTTGGGGGGAGGGGGGGGAATGCTACTGACATTTGTCCCTGAGTATTTGTGATGCAAATTACTCCATATATATATATATATATATATTTTTTTTTTCCTAAAAGGAGTTGTAGTGCCTACTGGCTCACCAAACTAAATGGAACATCTATAGGGCCTCCTTGCTATCAGGTAGACTTCATACCTCGCTGCCCTGTCGGAGCAGACCAAGAGGCCCATCGGGTTCTTAGAAAATTGTGGAGAACTTCCTTTTTCCACACGGAGAATACCCGCGGAGGATTCAGAGCATGGAGCTAGCTAGCCAGGGGAGTGGATCCTGAGTTGTAGCTGATGGATTAAAAGTTGATAGCCTTAAGTACCTGGGCCCCTTTGGCATTTCTGTGGTGAGTTTGGGATCTTTCCATTTGGAAGTGAGAAACTGAACAGGGAAACTAGATTACAAGAATGGGAAGAGAAGAGAGGGGACCCATTACCAACTATGGACCCGGCTGTTTATATTATATTGTTATATTCATGTACATCCCTTAACTACTTGCAGAGAATAGGTACTGTTGCCTGCATCCTGTGATTAGAGGCTAGTGGCTCAGGGAGGTGAGAATCTTGCTCAGGGTGGTACATCTTGGAATGAGTAGCAGAACTGGGACTTGAACTCAGAGCTGGCACTGTGTTCTCCCATGCTTCAGGCTGTCTTGCAGTACTGTGTGTGGCACCAATGTTGGAGATACAGGGAGAGAAGCATTCTGCTATTTCTGAAGAAGGCTTCTGCCTACAGTGAACTTGGTGGTGATTGTAAGAAAAAAGGGCTTGGTGGGAAATTGAGCAGAAGAGTACTCCCAGAGCAGGCAGATGTGTTAGCTTGGACTCTGTAGGTTGTATTCTGGGTTCCCGCGGGAACCAGAACCTCCTGCTTGGCAAGGCTGGGAGCTTATATGCTTGTCTGGGCTCTTCCACAATCCGCTGCCCTTGGCAGCTGACCAGAAGGCTTCAAGCAGCCCATTAGGTGTGACAGAGCCCAGGGATTTCCCAGGCTTGGGCTGCAGAGCATCCTCTTCGCTCTTACAGATCTTTTCCCTGCCTTTTGGTTCTCATAGTGGGCACTTGATGGCCTTCTGGACTTTTGTTCTGCAGAAGGGCAGTCACACGCCCCCAGTGGGAGTTGCTCCTCTAAGGGAAGCCCTTGGGCTTGCCCCTGGCAGAGTCCCAGAGATACCCAGTTTACCCAAGAGAATATCTTGTGCCACATAGATGAAGCAGGAAGTTCCATAAAAGTTTAAATCTGGGGCTGGGAAGGTGGCTCAGTGGTAGAGCGCTTGCCTTGCATGTATGAGGCTCTGGGTTCGATTCCTCAGCACCACATAAGCAAACAGAAAAAAGCCAGAAGTGGCTCAAGTGGTAGAGCACTAGTCTTGAGCTGAAGAGCTGAAGGAACGCGCCCAGGCCCAGAGTTCAGGCCCACGACCGGACCCCCCCCCCAAAAAAAAAGTTTAAATCTATCATTTCTCGTCCTGGTTTGTGTTGGAGGGGAAAAAAATGAGTGTGGGCATCTTAAAGAGAAACAGATGTTGATCTCAGGCTCCTCACTTCTTCTTTGCATTTGGGAAGGGCAGGAGGTGAGAGAGATGTAAGTAGAAGACAAAAGGACACCGAATGCGGTTTCCAGGAGGCTTTCCCCATCCCTAGGGTCTTAGTTGCACAAGTTGCTGAGAAGAAAGCTCCAAAGAGCTGCTTACTCAAAGCAGCTGCCTGACTCCTGCCCTGGAAGGTGCAGACATATGGCCTGTCCACACACTGGCTCCTGTCCTAGGAGGGTGTGAAGGGTACCTGGATTTCACATGTCCCTGAAGCCCCCTGGGAATTCCTGAAATGAGCCTTCTGCCCTCAACTGTGTCAGGAGTTGGGACAGGTTGAAAATGAAGGTTATATTGAGCTGGGGCTCTGATTTGTGTGTCTGTGGCAGCTACTTGGGAAATAGAGGTGGGAGGAATTTGAGACCAGTAGTTTGAGAGTCACAGAGGAAGACCCAGTTTCAGGAAAATGCTGGTTCTTGGGCTCTACTTAATCAGAATGCCTGGGTTAGGTTGTGTATGGGGTGTGTTGATATCTAACAGGATTTTCTACTTATACCAAAGTTAGAGAGCCCTTCTGGAGTTGGGGTGGGGGGAAGCTACGATGCCTTCAGTTGATTGACCCAGGCTGGATATTGGCGCCCCCTGAGTTCTGATTTAGTTCTGAAGCCTTTCTTGGGGTCAGGGAGCTGCAGGTGGGAGTCAAGTCAGAACTGCTGTGTTTAGGAGGATGTATCTCCTCTAGGAAGCCAAGCAAAGGTTAAGAGCCAGGAATGAGGGCAGAAGGCTTAGTTATGTCTCTTGCCTGGGCAAAAACAAGTCATTGGATTTGTCCCAGTTCACTGATTCCAGAGCCTCACAAAGTATCTAGGCCTCAAGGCTGTATGAAGCTCCCCACCTGCCATAGTGTTTACTGATGTGGAGGATAAGACAGGAGAAAAGGAAGCCCAGAGGAAACTAGGCACAGAAATCACACCTTCGGCCTGACTTGAGGCAAGGAATGTCTGCTCCAACCAGGTACCCTTTGCCTTAAGAGTAGCCACAGAAGGTCTGCTTTGTCTAATTCAGTCTGCAGACACTTCCCTCAGGTTGAGTTCAGGGAAACCATCGGCAGTGAGCTTCCAGAGATGCACATGTGGAGCTGGGGCACAGGCTTCTGGGCTCTAGGGGTGAGCATGTGTCTCTTCCCATGGCTGCTACCCTGCCTCTCATTTCATCCTCAGGGTAGTTCTGATTCCTCTTCCCTTGTCTAATCCTGTTCCTCTTCACGTCACACCCACAGCAGGGTGACTGTGACTCATTGTCTGGCAACCTTCTCTGCCCGGCTCTGAGGACTCAGTTTCCCCTTCTACTTTGGTTGAGTTTCTAGTAGGGCTGAATGAAGTCTGTTTTCCCAGAGGTGCTGAAGGAGAGCATTTTGCAGGGAGTGTTTGGCTCTTGGTCCAAGAGAACATAGATAGTGTGTTTGTCCATCCCTAGACCCTAGTCCTGCCAGTCTCCTGTCCTCTGCCACACTGAGATTCTTTCTGTCTTGGGTCTAGGCAGTAGAAGCTAAAGGCTTTTTAGCAAGGCTTTGTACCTTGGTGAAACTATGAATTCCACTAAGGGTAGAAGTTAGCAGTGGATTATGCGTGTTTTTCCCCAAAACTTAAAAATTGAGCTATAATGTTCACACTACCAAAATTTATCTTTAGTGTCATTTAAAAATAAGACAGAAAGAAAATGCTCTGGGGCTGGGAAGATGGCTCAGTGGTAGAATGCTTGCCTTGCATGCATGAGGCTCTGGGTTCAATTCCTCAGCATCACATAAGCAGAAAAAGTCCGAAGTACTGCTGTGGCTCAAGTGGTAGAGCGCTAGCCTTGAGCTGAAGAGCTAAAGGAAAACACCCAGGCCCAGAGTTCAGGCCCCATGACCAACACACACACACACACAAAGAAATAACATGCTCTGGGCCCTTTCCCCTCTACCCTTCGTGATAGTTCCCTCCTTGATCTTCCTTTTTTCTCCCATATCAGTGTTGCCTTCTCTTCCATATCATTCCCATTATCATGTGTTGAATGGTGTCCCCCCCCAAGATATGTCCTGGAACCTGTGGATATTCCTGGTTATGAGCTCCAGATCTGTGAGGTAACGTCTTGTCTCACATTCTAGAACCCTCTGGTGCTCAGTACAATGTCTAGCATCATGCACAAACCAAGAATTACTGGATAGCAGGAGCTTGTATCGTGCCCAGGGGAATAGCTGGGGTAGGTACGGGGAAACAGTGCCTTTGCAAAAAGGACGTGTGAGCAGCTGATCCGAGGTGGTAGATCCATAGTGAGGGCCAGAGCTCGCTGGTGAGATGATGTCAGAAGAAAAGTTGAGGGCTGGGAAGGTGGCTCAGTGGTAGAGTGCTTGTCTTGCATGCACGAAGCCCTGGGTTTGATTCCGCAGCACCACATTAGTAGAAAAAGCCAGAAGTGGCGCTGTGGCTCAAGTGGTAGAGCGCTAGCCTTGAGCTGAAGAGCGCAGGGACAGTGCCCAGGCCCAGAGTTCAGGTCCCATGACTGACAAAAAAGAGAAATAAAAGAAAAGTTGGATATACATATATATATATATATATATTATGTGTGTGTGTGGATATATGTATGTATATATACATAGAGAGACAGAGAGACAGAAATATATACGTGGAGAAATATATTTATTTTCATCCAGTACTGGAGCTTGAACTCAGGGGCCTTGGCACTCCTGCTCAGCTTTTCAGATAGTAGTGATACTTTCCCACTTGAGCTGTACCTCTGCTTCCAGCTTATTGCTGATTACT